CACACTATTTAATAAATAGCTCTATATATCGATACTTAGATTATCAACTTTTTTCCCTGATCCTACACAAGAGAATATACGTGATTGGTAGATTAATTTTATCTTCTCTGTCTTCTTTAATACTTTTATTGTCGATTGATGTGCAATTCATGCTACTTAATAATAACTCGATCAGTGAATGACTAGAGTTAGAATATCGACTTCATCCCTGAGGCCTACACTTTAGAATAGACGTGACTGATAGGTTCGATTTTATCTCCTCTCTTTCTCTAATACCTTGATATTGTCACTTAATAAATAGCCCTATCGGTGGACGGTTGAAGTTAGAAAGTCGACTTCGTCCATACACATTAGAATAGACATGATCGATAGTTTTAAATGTTATCTTCTATTACTTCTATAATACTTGATTGTTATTGGTTGATATGTAATTCAGATTACTTCATAAGTAGCTCTATCGTTGGAATGTTAGAATTAGAATATTTCCTCCCTAAGCCTTACGCATGAGCATGACATTTTGGACTTGCGTCGTTCATACTAGATTCAATCTCTGTTTTAGAAGTTTTTCAAGTATTTATTTCTATTAAATAATATAAAACGGCACTCAGAATTGGCTATCTAGAGCCCTTTGCCACTTATATAGAGAACTCCACACCTAGATAGAGGTCCCCCACGAGTATATACTACTCTCGTGCGATCTAGTGCGGCTCATTTGGCCCATGATAAAATACGCATTGTGCTTGGCTTAGGCTAAATGTGTTAGATGTCTCGAGTATGGACGATATGATTCAATCTTACACTTTTACACAACGAGACCATTACTTAGAAGCACACTTGATTCGGTACATGGACCGCAATGTACCTCTAAGCTTAGCTGTATCCCAGATTCCCCTGGCCATGTCATTTGTCTTTGATCCCATCTTTTTTGCTGTCTCGTGACCTTAATTGTTTGGTAGGTAGCAACTTTGACCGGTTTGATGCGTTCGTTGTCGCTTTATCGATGAGACTAAATCAAGTGCATTTGTGCTCTACTTAATGGACTTTTTGTGTGAAAAAGAAGACATCTATAATATATTAAATATCACATCAAATGAGAATCATTTTTGGACGACTGTAACCCTACTATAATTCAATTATTTCAATAATACTTGACTTTTCATTTTTCAATTACTATATAATTTACAAACTATAATAAATACTACAAAATTCTTGTTTAATTGTAATTAATTATCATTCACCTTTATTTAATTGGTATTAATTAGAACAATTATGTTACAAGTACAATTTTTTTGACATCAGATTTGACA